TTTTTTTGGTTTTTTGTCTGAAAAGAGAATGACTGCTTTTGTGAATCTATCTATTATTTTTTTTTTTTATTTTATTTTTGTTTTACCTTTTTTTGTTTTGTTCTCACTTATTGATAATTTTTTATGTCTTCTTTTGCAAACTGTGAGATATTATTGGCTATTTTCTTTTCCATCGGGCATTCCTTGGTAGTGCTATTTTGCAAATGAGATGGGAAAAAAAGGTGATCTGGCAAATTATTACCTTGATAGTAAAACATTTCTACAATTACTTTTTTTTGTTTTTTTATCCCTCCTTCTTCTTTTTAACTATTTTTCTTTTTTTGTTTTGTTTTGACGATCGAGTGTTTCTAGTGGTGGCTCTGGGTATCTATGTGTATTTCCTTATTTTGCTTTTTGTTTGCATGTCATTCACTTTGTGCTATGTTATTTTTCGGCTTTGTTGATTGTTTGAGTTCCTGATTTTCGTTATTATATATTGTTCTAATATTTTTCTGTTTTTTTTTTTTTTGTCTTTTTTATTTTATATTGTTATTAGAGATAAGGTTAGAAAATATCTAATTGCAGGACATAAATATTTTTTTTTTGAAGACAACTGACAGCTTCATTAAGTGAAATGCCATCACAAAAGTCCTCTCCTAAAACCATTACAGAAAACCATGTGGAGGTTTTTGACCCAGATTTTAAGTTTATGTACTTGGTGCCAACTAATCTGGTCGTTCACACCCCACCAGCACGTTTGAATATTTCCCGTTTGGTTGTTTGCCGAAACTACATACCAGGAAAGGAGGGTTCATGTGTGAAGGAGGAAAATTGTCGTTTTGTGCACGCTGATGTGGACTATGATAAATTACAGGCACAATCGGTTCACGTGAACTATATTTGGCGTCATGAAGACATCTGCACTTATAAGCGGTTACCTCCTGGTGATGTTCTTGAAGTTGTGTCATGGAATGGAGCACAGAGGCCTGATTTAATTCCCAGTGAACGTATCCTTGTGACACGACGAGCTTTATCGCATTGCGAACCGAACGGATCTCCTCTTTCTCATTGTGTTCATTTTTATTGTAATCGTATGTGTAACCGGGGTGAAAACTGTAATTTCATTCATGCGATTTATGTGGACCCGAATATCACTAGGGATTTTAAACGTGCTCCTGCACAACCGATACCACGATTTAATGTGAGCAATCGTTCATCAAGGACAGAAACCTCCGATCCTTCTGTTGGTTGGGTAAATCATTTTACTCCAAATTCTCCGCAGTATGGTTCTTTGCATCCCCTAAAGCGATGTATTGCACCGACGCCCCCTCAAGCAAAAACACCAATTTCTCTTCCTATACCTTCTGCGATGAATGACCAGTGTGAGACGTACGGTACGAAGTCTACCACCCCCCCGGACGTCGTTAAGACGACACTCCTTGAGGGCAGCGATAGCTGTCTTCAGCTGAGTGGTTCTTGTGCGGCCGCGGGCAAGACGGGGTTTGCGGCTCTGCAGTTCTCCGCCCCGGAGGGTCGCGGGCGGCAGCACTCCTTCAGCGGGAGTTTCGCTCCACCCGCCCAAGCTCCCATGGCCGTCTCCCACCCCGGTGGCGAGGTGGGCAGCAGCAGCAGCAGCAGCAGCGTCGGTCTTCGCCCGGTCGCGAAGGGGTTCGACGGCATCGCCGAGCGCTCGCGCATGGAGAGTTCCGACGGCTTCACTGCCTCCCCTTCCGCCTCCACGCAGAGCGCCAACGCCTCCGTTGGCCAAACACCGCTACAGCCGCAACTCAGCTCACCGTACATCGGGCCGTGGGGCACGGTGCTCTCGGGTTCCGCCTCACGCCGCTCATATCGACACAACCCGTACCTTCCAGTCCACAGCAAGGGAGTGGAGGGGTGAGACGGCGGTGGTGGCGAGTCTTCAATGGAGAGAAGAAAAGGAGGCGAATGCGTGACAAGGGGTGTGTGCACAGTGGGTATCTGGCTATTGTTAAGATGTAGTAAATAATATATTTGGAGAACGTTCACGATGCTCTTATTAGTAGTCATGCTTTGTGTTCACTTACACACTTGTTTCCTTTTTCCTCTTTTTTTTTTGTTTTTGTGTTTTCCTTTCATGGAGCTTTCTTTTGCGTGTTACCCAAGGAAGAATACACTTTCTTTCCTTTCTGCAATTCTGGTGCATTTATCTATTTTGTGATTTTTTATTTTTTGCCTTGTTCCTTTTACAATATGTTTCTGTTTTTTTTTTATCTGTGATAGAGTGTAGCCTAGAAGTAACGAATTGCTTGATACTATCTCTCTGGTGTTGGGTGAACTTAAGAAAGTAAGAACAGATGGAATGTTTGTGCCCATTTCTCTATGTTGCAACTCTACCTTGGAAACAAAATTTTTATTTTATTTTTTCATTGGATAGGGTTGTTCTTGGGGTGTATATGTATGAATTTTCTTTTTTTTTCGCGTGTCTCTTTTTTTTTTTTTCGTGGTAATACCTTTTTTTTTTGAATTTGACGTTTTTTTTTTTTTACTTTATCTCATTCCCATTTCTCATTTTTTTTTTTTTTTCTTTTCGTCTTTGCTGTCATCATTATCTCTTCTTCACTTGATTTTTTGATTTTTTCATAATCGTTATTAGGTGTAAGATGAGATAAATGAATGGTAGAGCTGAAGAATAGATGATATTGCCCACAATTATTTTTTTCTTTATGTGTATACATGCAATTTTTTTTTTCTTCGTTATATATATATATATATATATATATATATATATATA